CAGCATAGTTCTGAAACATTGAAGAAATTTGAACACTATGGCCACTTTCTTCACCAACCAGGAGGAATCTGCTAATATATTTCCTACTAAATGAAGGGCAAGCTCAAGTTCAAATAGACAAACTCCCAGATTTTAATTATTCAAATTTATTTTTCTACAAATTCATAATATACATAATTTAATATAAAATGGTATTAGAATGTATATAGTAAATATATAACTCATGAAAAATGTTTTTGTTTTCTGTGCTATTTGTTTGCATAGCATGCCAACATTATCTTGGGATCCCCCTGCACAATGTGCAATCAAGGCACTGCTGAATGTAATTTACTAATGTAGAAAGGAGTTTCGGTGACTTGTTCTTAGTGACCCAGTGTGGTGTAGAATCGATACTAGACTCCAAGGCCTCTGAAAACCAGGTTTGCCCCTCTCTTCTTTTCCAGGGATCAACCGAAAAACCACTGTTACGGGTTAAACTGTCTTTTTCTCCCACCCCAACACATATGTTGAAGTCCTAACCCCCCTGTACTTTGGAATGGAGGTGGGGTCTTTGCTGAGGTAACCAAGTTAAAGTGATGTCCTGAGGGTAGTCCCCAATTCAGTTTCCTGACAGGAGGAGGAAATATGGACACAGAAAGGCACAGGGAAGATAATGTGAAGACACAGGGTGACCACCGTCTGTGAGCCAAGGAGAGAGGCCCGGACACATCCTTCCCTCACGTCCTGCAGAAGGAATCAGTCCTGGGGCACCTTGATTTTAGACTTGACTAGACTCCAGAACTCTCGAGAAAATAAATTTTTGTTGTTTACCCCCTCCCCCGGTTGTTATGGTAACCCTAGCAAATTACTAAGTCTATAAAGTAAACGTCTTTGGATCAGCGGGCCACCGTGTTCTTTGTCACAACTACTCAACTCTGCTTCTGCAGCACTAAAGCAGCCGAAACGGTACATAAATGCCTGAGGAGGATAGGTATGTTCCAATAAATCTCTTTTTTTTTTCCAGTTTTACAACTTCGTTCAATAATCAGTACTTCTCATCCATATTAACTGCAGATTTTTCAAAGTGGTGACATATAGGTGACTAATGTATAGAGTTGTTTGGTGAATCTCCATCTCGTTACATTTTCAGGACAACCCTGGGATACAGTGTGGGGCATCCTCTATTCCTTTGGCCCAGACTGCCTGGTTGAGCCCCGCGTCAATGTGCCCATCTGGAGTTCCATCTCCTTCATATTCCCCGATCTCTCTGAATGACTAAGGGGCACGCTTCTTGAAAGCCACTCCATGGATTCACTGGTGGACATTGATGGTGTTTTCTCTGGTCACAACCTCACTGGTGGCAAACAGCCCTTGTTCTCTCACAGTCCTTCTTTGCAGAAGCCATTCATTCTGCCAGGCCCCCCAGATTTATTTACAAAGACAGTTGACATGAGTTGTAGTTCACCACCGCTGTTCTATATTTTAATGCTCTCATAACTGGGTACTAAAGAAGCTGTGGATGGACAGATTTAAACATTTCCAGCAGTCTGAAAAACTGAGGGGAAAAAAACAATTATCTTTAGATCATTCTCAACCCTCCTTTCTAAACTACCTTCTATCAGGTTTGCATGACTATTGAATTTCACATGCCAGGTCATTGTCGTGCATTACAGATGATCACAGGTTGTTTTTTGCTGCTCATCCTATCAGCAGGTTGTGTCTGTTCACCCTGCCCTTGAAACTGAGTGGCTCTGTGAGTTGTTCTGCCTTTGAGAATGCAATGGAACTGACACTGTCTGTACTAGTGCCAGGCTTAAGTCTTAAGAGGCCTGGAACTTCTGCTTCACTCTCATGGAGAGCTCTGGGCCAACATACAAAAAATATCAGCTACCCTGTTAGATAAACTGTGTGGATGGAGAGAAATGTCCTGAGGGCCCCCATATATTTCAGCCATCCAGCTGAATCATCAGACATGAATATGACACTATCTTGGATATTCTAGCATGCAGCTGAACTTCCAATGAATGTAACCTTTAGAGGGAACCCTGCCTAAAACTACATGGAAACAAGGAATTTCTACCCAACCTGCCCAAATGGCAGAACTATGAGCAAATAAATGACTGTGGCTTTAAAGCACTAGATTTGGAATGGATTTTTATGCAGTCATGTCTGGTACAGGCAACACACTCTTGGCCCATCCATCATAGACTTCCCTGGTTGAATGACATTCAGCTTTCCTAATGCCTTCTTGCCCACATCAAGATTCTTCTGCCCCAAGAAAATTTCAGACATTGTAATAGGTGGCTGATATTGAAACCAGGAGTACTGTGGGTTAAAGACCATATAATATTATGCCTTAAGTCTATGACCTTACTGCCTTGTCAAATAACAAGACTTTTTTTGTATTGAAGAACTTGCGGTAAGGAGAAATATGTTTATTGTAAATAAAGCATAGTATCAAATTATCCTTTCCATTATCTTACTGTGAAGAGCTATAGAGACCGGACATGATCATGAGGTTATTTAGTTCATTCTTAATCCAGTGAAAGTCTTAATCTCTTTGACCTTCAGGCAGGGGGCACCTTCCTATACCATTTTTAATAGCTTTCCATTTTCTAGCAGTCTAAAACAGGTTCTAATGCAAGTTCTGTAATGGAACATCACTCATGCTTCTTAAGATATAGACTTAGGTTATGTGCTATCTATTAGGAAGAAAATTGGTGACCTTTTTTCCCAAATAGGAGAAGCTATAGACTTGAATCATTTTCGAACTGACATTTTTGAACCATCAAACTACAGAACAAGCTAGAAGCTATAGTCAAAGTGCCCACTTGGGTAAGGTTACCATTGAACATTCCTTAGCACTTAGAGATGACCTGTTCTAAGGTGCTAATGCTGTGCATTTTGAAAGTCTGTTGAAGTTCCTCCTGCGACTAGCTATAAGGAAGAAAAGCTTTACTTGTCATCCTTCTCCTGTCCTGTCCACATGGTTGAGTCTGATCTTAGGACCCATTTTAGCTTTGTTAATAGCCGGCTCCATTGTGTGCGATGTTTTAGCAATGTGATCACTATGTATACACAATTGTTTGTAGGGGTAAAGAGCACTCAATTTGAACAACTGCTTTACAGAGTTTTAGAGTAAAGCCCCTTTTTAAACTGAGAATTCCCTATTTCTATGCCAGGGTTGGCTTGCTGTTACATCTCTAAAGAGTGTGAACCACATCTTAAAATTATTGACTCACTGTAGAAAGAGCATGTTGTGTCCATTTGTTCCAACGTAGGAATAAAATGATGCACCTCCCATTATAACCTCACAAAATGCTTATTTTAAAAGAGAATAAAAAGGTATCTTCATTGACAAGTGACTTTGCAATTCATCAGTTTCCTAATTCTGCTTTCTAAAAGTAAAATAACCCCACTGGACATGCTCATAAGCATCTGTAGAAATAACTAGTATAACATATGCAAGTGAACAGAAGAGGGAAGACAGTTAATTAACACTCACTGTATAAATTTAATGGAACTTAAATATAGGAGTCCACAAGATAAACATATCTTAGAAACCCTTGAATTCAAAGAGCTAAGAGGACAGAGACTGTCAGCTTGGTACCCATACAGTATACCTGCCACTAATGCTTTTCCAAATTCCTCCTAGATTCAGTTGGGAATAATGTTTAGCCACATGACTTTTCTTTCATGTATAGTTTAAACACATTTGCACGACTTTTATGCTACTTGCAAAAGTGATTCTTGATCTTGATTATTAATGTTTAAATGTTCTTTGGGGAGTATTTTTAAAACATGCTTTGCAATTTGGGTATTGACATCACTTCTTTGCCATTTTCTGATTGAAGTTGCAGACTTCCTTAGATGAAAAGATTTTCCGGATTCTAATCTCTAATGAGATGCAAATCAAAGTGTTTTGAAGGCATATACTGTCTTCTTTTATGGTTGAGCAGGTTAGATAGATGGTTAGTAATGGAGGAAACTAAACTAGCTTTTCTCCTATTTGCACAGTTAAATGGTTTGAGAAATCTAAGTGAAATAGCACATTGCATAGAATCGTAGGAATGGATTTTTAGCATGCAGGCCACAGTGAGGCAGAAAGTGCATAGGTTTTGTGCTAAGACTGACATGAGTTTATTTCTTAGCTCTGCTAAATAGGCCCCAAGATTTCTGAATCCTTTGAGCTCCGGCACAGATAATCTGGTCCTAAACCAATGATCTAGTTATCCTCTACCTGTAGAATATATATTATTTCAAGTTTCCGCCTCCAGAAATCAAGTTAGGATCATCAGCTGCTTCCTATAAAAATGATATAAAAATTACTGCTTTTCTCCCCTGAAATTAAATTTATTTTTATTGTGTAAAGCTTACTAATTTGCATCCAAACTTAGTATTCATTTGCATAAGTAGTTTCTTGATTAATTAAAAATGTATATTATTCCAGCACATCAAATCTACCTTAGCAGAATTTCATAAATTATATTTTTAGTATTTTTGTACTCCTACTTAAGAGTCCTTAATATATCAATCATTTCACACCTGCATGCGGTCCCTGTGTGGAGGGACATTAAGACATGAGCAGCATCCCATCTTCTGGACTTTTTTTCCTCTGTCAAATATCAGATCATAAATACATGTGTTCCTTGTGACAGTTTTTGAGTTATTTCATGTCTGCTTTTTTTGACAGGAGAAATAATGGTTTTAATGACAGATACTCATGATCCCAGCAGGAAAACGTGGAAATGCAATGTTTCTCTCTACTCTGTAAGGAGTGTATTGTTATTAACATTATTTTGACTATTCCTATCATCAGTCATCTTTGATGACCAGACCTGGATGACCAGGCAACATGTCTCCCGTTCCCACTGAGAAACCCCCCCCTGGGAGCTGTTGTTCATCCAGCTGCCGAGGGCCTCTCTCCCCCGCTTTCCTGGACAGCCACTTTGCAGAGCCTGCATGAGCCTACTGTGGATATTAGCCCTTAATGTAAGCAATAATGATAATAAATCATCCACTTGACAATAATATGCATATATTTCAACAGTTTGCCTTTTCAAATAGATAAAGACTAGAAGTCAAAAACTTCAGCCAGGACTGGGGTATGGATGTGTGTGATCTCAGCACGAAGGCATCCTCTCATTCATTACCAGTCACAGGTGGTCTGAGTCTATGCCCTCTTGGCACGTGACCCTGATGGTACAGGCCACTTTACACACAGTCATTTCATGACTTCTGCCTTATGTGAGATGGATTAAAATGACAAAGGAATTCTTAAAAAAAAAAAAAAAAAAGGAAGGGGAGAGTGAGCCTGGTGGGAGGCAAACTCAATGAGATGTTGCAGTGCTTTTCCTGTAGCTGTGACTGGGGGGGGGGGAAGGGGGTGGGCAGCAAGCTGGTGGCCTCCCACTGAGATGGGCTGGCTGGCGAAGAATCCCTCTCTCTGCTCGAGTGGCTCACAAAGAGCTTGCATGTGCCATGCTGCGGATCCAGGTCATCTGTTTCATATGCCTCCTGTGAAATGAGAAAAAAATGTGTGAGGTACACTAGAGGAGCTTGAAATGACTGATGATATTGTCATGTGGTACCACTTGGGTTTGCATACGAAGAGTCATGTTTTCCTCTGCTGTGTTTCCTACTCATCCTGGCAAAGGATGCAAAGTCAAACGAGGCAGTTGTTAGGTAGAAATTAGAAATCTGTAAATTACAAGTAAGTGACGATGTTCTCTCTGGGAGAGAAAAACTAAACCACAAAAATAGGGGCTCACCGCCCAGACTCTTCCTAACAGGACTGATTTTGAGGCATTTGTAGAAATGGAAAATGGATATCTAGTATTTTGGGTCTGTACTATGTTTTCAATGTTATGGTACTACTAAGTGTATTATGGCTATGGGTTGTTCTTATGTTCCATGAGTTAATTATTCAAACACAATGCAATAAACAGATCGTGTATCATAGAAATGTACACTTGAAACCTACATAATGTTATTGTATTAACCAATGTCACCCCAATAAATTTAATAGAAAATAAATCAATAAAAATAAATCATATGGGCACTATTCAAGAAGAGACCAAGTTTACCGGAGAGATATTATTATTCCTATTTTTTTGAAGGAGTAGAATGAGTATCAGATTTAAGAGAAATTGTTCAAAGTTATAAAATTAAGAAAAGAGCAGAGATTTGAAGTCATGTTCTCTAACACTCTTTGCTAAAATTATTCTGTAATTAAATATGACTAATGAAAGTTTTAATTCCTACTTTGTTCATAATTTTCTTCCTAATTAAATGTACTTTTTCTCCTTCCTGAAAAAAAAATACTATCCTTCATTTTTACCTAGTTTACAAGCAAAATTGGTTTTTAGGGAAAAGAGTAGAGCAACAAATTTTCTTGAAAATAAAAAGTTGGGATGGTGTCAAACTCCAAACAGGTCTGACTGTGCTCTGCGCACTGGGCATTTTCTGAGGATTGATGACCAGCTAAGAGGAGTTGATGGTCCTTGGCTGAAACTCGGGCCATTAGCTCCAACCAGTCATTAATTGCCTGGAAATGTCCTGGGCTGAGGTCATTATTGCTATTATAAACTGAATTAATGCCCTGTGCCTTAGCCAATAAGATTATTTGAATTATTTTTATTCTCCGTGCAATTTATAATTATAAAACTGTACCACAGGCAATCAGACCAGATGATAGATTAATCACTTGCAAAATTACATTTTTAAATGAATTGGTTTTGATTCATATAGCCACCCAAAGCCTTTGGAGAAGTTGATTCCTCAGTGTGGGCACTTGCTGAGGTTGGTTTGCTATGCTGCACCTCTAATCCCTCAATCCTACTTCCTACCACTGGTTCAAATTCAAGTAAATAAGTAAATTGAACAGGATCTACGAGTCACAATTTTTGAATTGTAGATTCCATTTTTCTAGAAGGTGTGCTACTTTGATTTGTTTGGTGTGGGAAATTGGGATGACTGGACTTGGGGACAGCACAGGGGGATGGTGTTGTGACAGTGGAAATTCATGAAACAAGCCATATCAACCTAAAGCTTATACACAGTCACAACCGTTTAACTTTCTATAGTGTTTTGTCATTGTTCTTTCCACATGCATTACTGAATTTTGCTCTTTGAGTAACACTCGCAGTTAAGCATGACAGATGTTATTATTCCATTTTTCATGAGAAGATGGAGGTGTAAAGGTTAAGTGACTTGCCTTGCATGTCACTGTTATGGAAGGTTGTCTCACCTGTGCTTATTAGTACCAAGTGTCATTATGTGTCTCTGAGATGTTTTTAAATTTTCATACTAGCAATAACTCAGTACTACTAATAAGTATTAGAATAGTTTAAAATGCCATTTTCTTTTTTTCTTTAGATTTTCTTTATTTTTTTTTTAAATATTTTATTATTTATTTATCTTTACAGGGGAAGTGGGGGAAGGAGAGAGGGAGAGAAACATCAATGTATGGTTGCCTTTTGTGCGTCCCCTGCTGGGAACTGGCCTGCAGGGAACCGGCCTGCAACCCAGGCATGTGGCCTGACTGGGAATCGAACCGCGATCGTGTGGTTCGCAGGCCCGCGCTCAATCCACTGAGCTACACCAGCCAGGGCAGATTTTCTTTATTTTTTTAAAAAAAGGGGGAAAGGAGGGAGAAAAAGGAAAGAAACATCAATGTGTGGTTGCCTCTTGCATGTTCCCTACTGGAGACCTGGCCCACAACCCAGGCATGTGCCCCGACTGGGAATCAAACCGGCAACTCTTTGGTCCACAGGCCGGCACTCAATCCACTGAGCCACACCAGCCAGGGATAAAATGCCATTTTCAAGGTATTTCCAAGGCTCTTGAGTTCTTTAGAGAGAGAGTGCTACAGAGTTACCAAACAATATTGCATTTTCACAATTTATAATGGGTGATCAATTTACTGAGTATAGATTTTCAGGATCTCCTTGATCATTTGCTTCTTTTTAAGCAATGCATATTTGTGTTAATCCATAACCTAATTGGATATATTTTATATCAACATTATGTTTTCATATTTTATATGTGAAAAATTTCTTATTCAAAGAGATGTGCTGTGATATAAGTAACTGGAGCCTCATCGATATGTTACAGGACGAAAGAACAGCACAAGGAAAATCTGAAAAGGCATCTTAATTAACAAAGAAACCATGAGTTTTTATTGCTTTTAGATTAGCCTCAGAAGATCATATATAGGGTATGATGTCAGGAGTAAAGTGAGACTCTGGATGGACTGATTTTTTTTAGCTAGGGATCAGTGCAAACTAGATGATATTCCAAGCTGAGAAGTATTATGCAGGGTACATGACATTGTGTGGTTATACTTATACATAACCGATAAAAGTGGTGATTCTCAGTCTTGCATCTCTGGTAAGGGTGATTACTTCTAATCTTAGTCTCCCCTGAACCCTCCTCAACTGGCCAACCTCTAGCCAAAACAGAGAGGCAGTTAGAGAAGTTTCTCATTTCAGATCTACATTACCTTTGTAATCTCTAGAGAGTGCATTATTTTGGAAACAACAAAGAACAGTCTGGAGTTGGGCCAGGCTCCGTCCTTTTTTCTCACTTTATCAGGTGAGGAATTGTTGGATCATGGGCAGTAACTGTGCAGAAGCTTTTAAAACTCAAGGAACTCCACAGCTGACAACTACAACACTCACAAAGATTGAGGGCAGGATGATGATTAAAATACAGAGCAAGGAACGCATCCTCAAGTCCACTTGGGTCTACTTTTAGGAGTCAGGTGGACATCTTCTTAGAGATGAATTGTTCTATTTGCCCAGTGGTGTTTAACCAAGTACAACTGAAGCACAGATACTGCTCTGAGAGGCTAATAGAAAATCTAAAGCTATTACTTTGATCATTACTACTTAGACCAGAAAGTTCAGATTTACCATATGAGCTTCAAGTACTATGGAAGTATCACTTATAATATTAGTTAAGATTGAACAGTTGTAAAGGACACATGGACAATAACAAGGGGGTGGAAATAGGAGGGAGGGAGGGAGGAAAAGGCAGAAAACTGTGCTTGAACAACAATAAAAAATGTTTAAAAAAAGATCGAACTTCTTACCACCCTTTCCAATTATATAACTTTCTTACCACTTTTTCCAATTGTGTAAACACCTCTATAGGAACTACTGCATAGATGGCGTACATACAAAAGTAAATTAAAGGTTCTTCTGAATCAGTGATTTTTAACCTTTTCCATCTCATGGCACACATAAACTAATTACTAAAATTCTGTGACACACCAAAACAAAATTTTTGTAGATCTGAAAAAAATAGGTATAATTTTCATTCATTCATACTGGATGGCTATTGTTGTGTTGTCCGTTGTCATTTTTTAAATTTGACAATCTAAGGGAAAAGAGGGCAGTGCCCCTGACTAAATAGTCAGCTATTGCATGTTTAAAAAATTCTTGCGGCACAGCTGTTGAAAATTGCTCTTCTGACTAATTCTTAGTGCACTATGCAGCTCTGTTTTCTAAGTTCCTGGGCACATGCTGCAAAAAAACCTCTTTCACAAGGGGTTGCTTGTCTGATACACAAGCAAACAATTGGCTTCATATCATAAAGTAGTTTCCTAGGGAGCATAGACTATATGATGTTATACGCCAATTACCTGTGTGGGGAAGGGCAGATCCCCTGGAGTTGACTAACTTCTATAAAGCAGTTAAAGAGACTATGAGGAGAAAAAGTTAACTATGCAAAAAACAATAGCCTCAAGATTTACTCTAAACTCTACTGCATCCCTGGTCTCTGTGAACATTATGGTAATGACGTTTGCAGAAACATTTTGTTCTTCCAGGGCTGAGTCCTCTTTTTTTTCTCATGACTGGAAGTAGAGTTAATAATGTGGGGATCTAGTAGGTACAAGAAGGGGCCCATGGAAAGAAAATGACTCTCTGACTAGTATAGAGTGATGACTATAGAATTTTATCCAAAGGATCAAGTAATCTTGAGAAGTGAGGTATAATCATTCTATTAATAGCCCTAAGATCTGGAACTCTTATCTAAGACAGGTTAGGACTAATTCAAGGGATAGAGCAAGGCATATTACATCCTTTTGCTATTGGTATTTATTTTCTGGGCTTTAATCCTTCCATTGGTTCTGGTTTCAAAGAATATTGTACAACTTGGGTAACAGGTTGGTTAGGTCAGTCTGAATTTTGATGGGTTGAGTCCCCCGAATCTTCTCGATGTTGATAACGTATTTGGACCATGAGGAGTTTGAGACTTTGCAGAAGTTCTCAAAGTGTGTCTGCTTTAAGTATATGCATCTCTTTAAGAATGTACTAATTATCTATAACCTGATTATGGAGAAGGGAATCCTCTAGAATTTCAAGGAATATGCCTTATAAGGAGCATATAAATTGGCAGTGCCATTTACAGAATAAGTCTCTTTACCCAGCAAAAAGGTTCTCCAAAAATGGAGACATACTGAAGACATTTTGTTAATAGCTGATTTATTTTAAAGGAAGTACTAAAGGGTG